TAGGGAAACAACACGGAAGGAGATACTCCTGTGTATATTAGTCATTTGCTTCACATATGACTTCATGTCATTTGTCAAAATGTCCAAAGAAGGATGCTTCATGGCTCTGTACACTGGTGAAGGCATTGGCCGGCCAACCAAAGCCTCATGTGGTGTTAGCCCCAGCGTTCTGTGTGGCATGGTTCTTTTGACACAACATGTACAATAAAAATGGTTTCTCATAGTCTGGGAGAGCAAGAGCCGGTGCTTGCTGCAGTAATGATTTGATTGTCTCAAATGCCATATTTCCTTCAGAAGTCCATGTCAAATTTGCCCGGAGGTTTCCCACACCTCCCACTGTAACCATGTCTCGCAATGGTTGGACAATAGTGGAATATACGTCAGTCCACTCTGCACTGTAGCCAGTCATTCCCAGGAATGTCATCATCTCCACCACTGTGGTGGGCCTAGGTGTCTTTGACACCGCTTGCAACTGTGAGGGGGACACAGCTCGCGAACCTTCTCAGATCAATCTACCCAAATACTCCACTTGGTTCTGACAATACTGTAGTTTGTCTAGAGAGGCTTTATGTCATCTCTCAGCTAACATGGTCAACAAGGTCATGGAGTCTTGGTGGCACATCTCAAAATCTGACACGCACAGAATGATGTCATCAACGTACTGGAGGACAGTGCTTGAGATCTTACCTGCCAAGTCCTCCATGTCCTCTTTCAGGACTTTGTTGAACATATGTGGGCTATGTTTGAAGCCCATCGAAACTTGCGTATAGATATAAGAGTGTCCCCTATGCGTGAATGCAAAAAGGTGCCGACTGTTCTCGCTTAGCGGCACACTGAAGAATGCAGAACACAAATCAACCACTGTGAACCACTTGGTGTCCGATGGAACATTTGACAACAAAGTATGTGGATTTGGAACTTCAGCTTGAAAATCTTCCACAACCTCATTTAGAGCTCGCAGATCATGCACTAATCTATACTTACTTTTGTCAGCTTTCCTCACTGGCAAAATTAGTGTGTTACTGCATGGATTTGGTTCAGCCACCAGCACACCTGCTTCCAGCAGGTCTCGTATCGTCTGCTCAATGCTTGCCTCTGCCTCAGGTTTTAGCGGATATTGCGGTCTCCATGGAGGTCTGCAACCTGGTCTCAACCTTACCTCCACGGGTTGTGCAGACTTAATGAATCCCACATCAGTGTCATGTTTTGACCATAACTCTGCTGGCACTCTGGCCACCATTTCTTTTTTGACATCTGAATGTTGATGACAGAACACAGGTTGGCAGGGGAGTCGGATGACCTGAGCATGAGCCCAGCCTGAAGCAGATATGAATATCTTAATAAAAGATCCATCTTCACTC